AGAGCCTTTACTACATGAAAATGAAAATTAATGAATACACTGTGTACAGTAATTTACCTGATAAGACAGACCTCAGAAAAATACTTTATGAGAGCTTTTATACTTTTATAAAGCTGTCTATAATGAAAATTAATTAACTAAGGATTTTTTTGCCCTGCCAGGGTGTGGCCGAGTTATCCGGAGTGCCGGGTTATCGAGAGCCAAGTTTTCGAGGTTCTACTGTATATACATTTAATATGCAGTAGGGATTATAATAAACTTGCATTTTGTGAATTATCATTACACAATGCTGATCCCTGTTACTGCTGCTTTTGTGCTATATAACAGCAGAATTTACTGTTAAATTATCTCATATTGTATGTAGAATATACCATAAAATGTATCATAGTATAATAACCTCAATGAATACATGGTGGGAAATCAATATACAATATTTGTTGTAGTGTATGGATGCAGATGTCAATATAGCAACACTGAAATGAAATGTGTTATACAAGCTATGCAGAGGTTCACTGCCTATGGGACAAAATGCCTGCCAATATCATTTCCAACTGCTTTTGGAAAGTAGATTTCAACAGAAGTGGATGTTCATATCATTGAAAAATACCAATGAAGAAAAGAGGGTTTGGGAGGCCATATCCAGTGTCTTACACCTTGAAGGAATTCCCTTTACTGATTATGTGGAAGTTGATGCAGATTTGATTTTAACAGAAACAGAGACAGAAAATGCTTTAACAGAATCTTAGCAACCTGAAACTGAAGTACAGTACATGATGATGATGAAGTTAATTAACTGCTTTATTCCTGATCAATTTTTAATGTTAATGTAATTAAACATAAAGAATACTTAAAACTGAAAAAAAAAAACAAAAGAAATGCATTAATTTTGAAGAAAAAGCTTCAAACTTTATTTTCCATTGTCTCGCCTTTTTGCGAAATTTGACACCGATGAGTCATTGTGTTTACAGCTGGATGACCTTGAGAACAGCTGGTGTTGGATTTCTTGGGACATTCTTATAGTCTCAGGAGGAGAGGGGTTTAAAGTAGGGTGAATACTAGCTGCTCCTATATTTTTA